ACTCTCCGGCCTTGCATTATACTCGCATTGAGATGGACCCAAACGGACAACCGAGAATCGCCGTAAGTAGTTAAATTGGCTCATTTCTGAAGGAAGATGTGAAGCAGCGTCGTTCTCTAACGATCCGATAGGGCGACTTTGGAGTTCCGGGCCCATATAGAAACCGAGATGAGGTTGTTTACACGCAAATGGTAAGCTCCTAGAACCGAAGCTGCACTAACTCCTGACTATTCCAATACTGATCAACCTGTTATAGGCACATCTGCGCACGCCGCAAATACCCCTGGGTCCTCTGAACGGAAGTGCTTCGCCTCCTGCCCCAGGCCGCGTCAACAAGACGCGGGTTCGAAGGGCGGCTAGAATGCGCAAGCGAAATCCTGCAAAGAGAGGTAGCGCTGACGACATCCACGTCCCACGTCCATTAAGCGAATTGATAAAGGAGATGCGAATCCCAGTACGGGACATGGAGGTCCATGTGACGCGATCCGCAGAGCAACGCCTGAAGGAGGTTGAGAAGAAAAAGGGAAAAATCGCACGGCCGATGAATTCATTCATGCTCTATCGCTCAGCATATGCGGAGGCAACGAAGGAATGGTGCTCTCAGAATAATCATCAGGTTGTCTCACGAGTAGCTGGTGTTAGCTGGCCAAAGGAGCCGCAGGAAATAAGAGACTATTACGAGCGCCTGGCTAACATTGAGCGAGACAACCATGACAAAGCCCACCCGAATTACAAGTTCGCGCCTAACAAAAGCACGACCACCCCCAAGAAGAAGAAGTCATTGCCCCTGAAGGAAGAAGAGAACGGCGACGTCAACGATCCGGACTTCACAATGCCTTCATATCAACATCCAGCCAGACAAATGTCTGGCGCTTCATTCCGAGATGGGAGCTTTCGAAGCCGCACCCCTACGCCCATGGACCGCGATAGCTCGTACGACAGCCGCCAGGGGACACCATTCGAACAGAACGGAGATATGTATCTGAATGGCGACATGAACCGATCGTCGTGGCAAGTGTCAAATCCCGGGCGGCCACAGCCTGGTATGATCTCTTCCCCCGAACAAACACACTATTATCAACCTTCCATCCACCAAAGCATGCTAGGGCCTAATATCGAAGATGTGACCTTCAAAAAGATGGGAGTTCCAGGCATGCAATACGACGGACCAGGAGCCCTGGCCGGCCTCCCAGGCAATGCACATCCCGAGTTGCTCCAACAGCAGCCGCTCCCACAATCAAGGACTCCAGTCTCGCTCAACGACTTACAAGTCGATCCGCAGCTTCTGGAATTCGATGGCCAACCTAGCCTCCCATCCAACAACGGGGCCAACTATGAGGGTCCAATAGATATCTGGCAAATGCCCAATGGAGAGCAACAGTTTCTCCGGTCCGGCCTCCCCACTCAAGAAGACGAACGATATCATTCACAATCTAGTTTCCATCATGCTGTGCAACAACCCATGGATGGACGGGAGATATGGAACGAAGGCCAAATTGATGCTGGGGGACAATTTGAAGACTGGATTAGTACTGGTACTCCATTTGAGTACGGTAATGCTCCGCAGAAGCATATCTGAAAACGGGTTTCTCTGTTGTCCTTTTCTCTCTTCAGTGATTCTTTTGAGGGGTGGTCATGTAGATGCGGGTAATGTAATAGATCATACGCTTTTCAT